TTTATTATTTTCTAAAATGCCTAAAGAGATTCACTCTGACTCCAAGATAAATGATGTAAGCAAAATTGTTACATTGTGTGCTATCAAAATGTTTTTCTATCTGATATTAGCAAAGTGTTTTCTAAACTTGATATATATTCAGAGGAAAATGTGTTTGTGCATGAAAAGAGTTCCTAAGAAAAGGTGGATTGTCTTTTTATTTGTATCAAAAACATGAGATTTTTCTTGGTATTTAAAAAGATGATTCATGGAGAATAGAATACACTTACCTCTCCAGATTTTAGATGCCCTCCCACCCATTTTGCTTATTCTCTGTTTTTCCTAAAGATGGACGTTTTTGTCCTGAGGGGGTTAAGAATATTGACAACAAGAGTTACTGACTGAGTAGACAGCCAGGTTGTTGACATGCAGCAGAGTACTCCAGGTACCTAACAGTCTAAGCAGTCATACATGTTTGTGGGTTACATGATACATATTTGATATGATATATTTGTTTCACTCAGGGCTGATCTACTGAGTTTTGCACAAGCAGTCAAAATTTTATAGAGGAAAGGGAAGGATGTGGGCGCTTGTTTGCAGGCCACATGAGCTTTGCTGCTTGCTTCACATCTTTACATATTGGGAAATTGATGCAACACTGCTTTGTTCTGTTGGCTTACGATATATATGAAGAGATAATGAGATTGTGTTCTGTTCTGATTGAAGGGGATGATGACATCGATATGAAATAGCTGTGGTCTTCACATGGCTTCTGTGCGTGATCTACACAGATACATCTTTGTCTAATGGGTCATTTGACCTGCACCAGTTTATGCTGATTGAATCACAGTGAAATAAGCATGTAGCACATTGCCAGCTAGATACACCAGGTAGGCTAGTCTGTTTCCTTTTTCTTCTTAACAATGCCTGAGAAATGATTGAAACTAGAGGCGACTTCTATAGAAAAAAAAAACAAATGGCCAAGCGGACACAGTCTTCAGTATCACTTTGTGCACAACATCAGTGATCATAAGAAACATACAGAGAAAATAGATTCTCAGTGACATTTATGCAAATGAGACTGTGGCATGTGAGTCTGCACCCAGCATGATGAGAGGGGAATTCACCATCACTTGGCTGCTCTACTGCTGCTGCTGCTGCTGCTGCTACCATTAGCATTAGCATTGTTCACACATCCCCTCATCTTAGGCCGCTTCCACACCCCTCCTTCTCATCCTCTCTACCCCAACTCCTGACCGTGTCTCCACCCTCCCAGTACCACCACCCCCACCCTCGTCTCTGCCTGCCTCTGCGTCCTCTCTTTCCTGTTCTCGCTGCAGTGTTGCTATAGCAACGGAGAAATGTGGGAATACCTCCGTCCTTCAGAGAGGGGGATGGAGGAGGGGTAGGGGGGAGATAGAGGCGAAGAGGAAGAGGATGGGAGAGAGACGGAGAGTTAAGCGGCAGACAGAAGAAGAGACAAGAGCAGAGGAGTGGAGGGAAGACTGTTAATTAAAAGACAGACAGAGAGGGGCTGCGACTCACTGAATGGACACCATTGCCTGTCACTGAGACTCCTGACTCACTTAGTGACTCCAACCGTTTGTCCATCTCCTCTGGCCCCTAAAAGCAACCCCCCCC